ATCAGATTTGTGACGATTATTGCTTCGCGGAAACCAGCAAACTATGAACTACGTTTGGGAACAAAAGTTACGTTAAGCTTTATAACCACAGTGACATTTTAACATCAATGTGCGTTTATCAGAATGGCATCTAAACGGTTGATAAAAAGTAAGAACACTGTGTCGCAAGTATCTTCAGCGACAACAATGAAAGATACATCGATAAGTAACCAGAAGATCAAGATGTGCATTTTTTGTAAGTACCAGCACAGTTCTTTGACTATCTGCGACAGAGATCCTAAATATTCAAGTTATATTGAAGACTTGGTAAATAAAAAGTGGCAAAATAAACAAAAGAATAACCTTAAAAAGTGCCACTTCTGTAAAGCATTCGGACATATTGTAAAACACTGTGTTGGGAAACAGATGTTAAAAGACAAGAAAAGATCCTTGTTTGCAAAAACTAATTCAGTTACAATGGATTCAGAAGGTATTCCTACTCTAGATTGTGTAGCATGCGACTGGTTGAAGAAACAGGGAAAAACATCAGAGCCACATATAATGTTGAGAGGAACAGTCCAAATGAAATGCCCAGGAACTAAAAAGATAAAGAACGAAATCGTAATTGCAGAGTTAGAACCCAGCAAGAGTAGTAATACAAGCAAGAAAGTTGAAACGAAAAAGACAGGAGCCACTAAAACAGAGAAAAAGTCAAACTCAGAAACAATGAAAATCAATCAAGCAAAGGATATCACTATTCCAACAATGACATCAGTCGAGACAAAAGCAACTCAATGTGTGAAAAAACCAGACTGTGAAATACTAATAGATAAACAAGCCGTGAATAAAGAATTTTCATTCTTAGAGGACAATAAATATATAGATTATGATCAATTCCGCAGAGCAGAAAGTCAGAAATATTGGGAAAAGTCAATTAAATGTTTGATAAACAAGAAACCAGCACAAATGCAATTAAATAGAAAATCAAATATCACTTTGGTATGTGACAAATTTTTAGAAAAATCAGATTATAACGGAGAAATAGTTTACTGTTTAGACAGAGAAGGTTTGTTGATGCGATTTCGGACAGCTTATATTTATTTGAAGTCGCCCTATATATCAAGACCATTGAAAGTACTGGTATTGAGCAACATCGGAACAGATGTGATTCTGGGATACAAAGACTTCAACATTAGAGACTGTTCTGATGAAGACATACGAGTCTGGGAACAAAGTCATCTCTATCAACAAAAATAAAAGCCATCACAGTTTGACCAGCCATCACAGTTTGACATGCCATCACAGTTTGACCAGCCATCACAGTTTGACCAGCCATCACAGTTTGACATGCCATCACAGTTTGACCAGTCATCACAGTTTGACCAGTCATCACAGTTTGACCAGCCATCAGTTTGACCAGCCATCAGTTTGACCAGCCATCACAGTTTGACATGCCATCACAGTTTGACATGCCATCAGTTTGACCAGTCATCACAGTTTGACCAGTCAAAACAGTTTGACCAGCCATCTCAGTTTGACCAGCCAAATAGTTTGACCAGCCATCACAGTTTGATCAGCCATCAGAGTTTGACCAACCTAAATCAGAAATCACCAACCAGTACTGTACAGTGAATGAACAGAAACATATCAACCACTGAATTATTTAAATTTGAAAATCACCATCAAGGAACACGAAATTGATTTTTCTCCAGATACCTCAAAATCGACCATTGAAACATTTCAAAATCATCAAATTCTAAGCAACACTTCAAGAGCATCTATACAATATCAAGATCGTCGAATACCAAACGTATCATAAAATAAAGAATGCGAGAATAATGAAGCATTCCTACAGTTTAAGCACAATCAACAGCCACAAAAATGTCAGTAGTACATCGTGTGTACACAAATATTAATTGTGAAAGTTAATCAAGTTAATAATCTAGTGTTTGTGTAAATATCAAATTAATGAAGTATTTTAAAAAGTGCATAAACACCTGGTTTCATTTATAAGTCACATACTGTGTGTATTGAACACCTTCCGTTTAGTTTCATTACGAATTATTTTAAAGGTGGCATATCAGTAAATAAATTGTTAAATTGATAAGTATTTTTAAAAAAGTGCATAAACACCTGGTTTCATTTAGAAGTCACATACTGTGTGTATTGAACACCTTCCGTTTAATTTCATTACGAATTATTTTAAAGGTGGCATATTAGTGTATACAGTCACTGAACAATGATAATAGTATTGTGTTAACTTATAAAATTATAATATTTTTAGTCAGTATATTTCCAAGATTACCAGCTATCCTACCATGAAAGACCCAAGAGCAGAACAGACTGTCGAGGGAACCAAGGAATGAGAACCTGGAAAGCAAGCGTCAGAGTACAAGCAAGACACACAGCCTGCAGGGATGGATCAAGATCAAGGATAGTTATTGGGATGAATGGGAATGAAAGAGAATAAAACAGGAATGAATGATGAATGAAAGATTTGTGGGTAGTATTTTAATAGTGTACATGCATTTAACTTAGGTTAGTAGTTCATTAGGAATAGTTTAGTATTCATGTAATGACAGAGTTAGTAGTTCATTAGGAATAGTTTAGTATTCATGTAATAACAGAGTTAATAGTTCAAAAGTTCCAAAAAAAAAAAAAAAATTCTCTCTCCCCAGGAACAGCACAACCGAATTAAAGATTTAGCAATAGATCATATAGAAATCTTTTTCCACAGAATGATTTACATAAATTCAATTTGAAATGTTTTGGCATAGGTACACAGCACAGGGACATGCTAAAGTTGTCCACCACATCCAAGATTAGGAACCAGCTATAGTTATACCAAATAGTTTTATCTGCCATACACTCTATCTGCTGCTTGCTTCTGTTCTTTTGGGACCAAATGACCAAACCTTTGAACTCTTGGATGTGCCTTCCATTGCTTTCAGTCCTTCACTGGTACTGTGCCTCCCATTGCTTTCAGTCCTTCACCGGTACTGTGCCTCCCATTGCTTTCAGTCCTTCACCGGTACTGTGCCTCCAATTACTTTCAGTCCTTCACCGGTACTGTGCCTCCCATTGCTTTCAGTCCTTCACTGGTACTGTGCCTCCAATTACTTTCAGTCCTTCACCGGTACTGTGCCTCCCATTGCTTTCAGTCCTTCACTGGTACTGTGCCTCCCATTGCTTTCAGTCCTTCACTGGTACTGTGCCTCCCATTGCTTTCAGTCCTTCACTGGTACTGTGCCTCCCATTGCTTTCAGTCCTTCACTGGTACTGTGCCTCCCATTGCTTTCAGTCCTTCACTGGTACTGTGCCTCCCATTGCTTTCAGTCCTTCACTTGTACTGTGCCTCTCATTGCTTTCAGTCCTTCACTGGTGTCTCTGTCTCTATTTGTTTTTCTCACCTCCTTTCTTGTACATCTCATCATACATGTTGAAATTTTGCATTTATGTTTTTATAGGACTCTCCATGTCTGGCACTGATAGCACAAAGTTGGTATGATTAAGACATTTATCAGCTGCTTTGTTATGTCTCAAAATAAGCGCTGTTTTGGTAATTTATGTTGCTGGCCTTCTTTATGCTGATTTCTATATTTTGTCCAATCCTCCATCCTCTGTTAACATACTGCTCCAATACTTAAACTTGTTAGCTTGTTTTAATGTCACTCCTTCAACAGTGATTACCTGTTGAACTGGTGTTTTATTCATTGTCATTGTTTCTGTTTTTTCTGCATTTATTTTCATATTTTGTTTCCATGTTTGTTGGCCCTAATCAGAGGTTACAACTGCTGCATGTACAGGTCTACTCAGCCAGTCAAACACACTGACATTATATACTGATATTATTTAATTTCATAGATTCAAGTGGTTTGTACAAGTGGTTTATATGCAAGTGGTTTGTACAAGTGGTTTATATACAAGTGGTTTGTACAAGTGGTTTATACAAGTGGTTTATATGCAAGTGGTTTGTACAAGTGGTTTATATGCAAGTGGTTTATACAAGTGGTTTATATGCAAGTGTTTTGTACAAGTGGTTTATATGCAAGTGGTTTGTACAAGTGGTTTATATGCAAGTGGTCTGTACAAGTGGTTTATATACAAGCGGTTTTTACAAGTGGTTTTTACAAGTGGTTTATATGCAAGTGGTTTATATACAAGTGGTTTGTACAAGTGGTTTATATACAAGTGGTTTCTATACAAGTGGTTTAAATACAAGTGGTTTCTATACAAGTGGTTTATATACAAGTGGTTTATATACAAGTGGTTTATATACAAGTGGTTTGTACAAGTGGTTAATATAGAAGTGGTTTTTCTACAAGTGGTTTATATACAAGTGGTTTGTACAAGTGGTTAATATAGAAGTGGTTTTTCTACAAGTGGTTTGTACAAGTGGTTTATATGCAAGTGGTTTGTACAAGTGGTTTGTACAAGTGGTTTATATACAAGTGGTTTATATACAAGTGGTTTGTACAAGTGGTTAATATACAAGTGGTTTGTACAAGTGGTTTATATGCAAGAGGTTTGTTTCCCACTGTGGTTCCACTCTGTCCACCTGGCGAGCGCAGGTGTCTTAAAGATCCCTGACAAATATCATCTGGTACATCCCTGCTAAGGGAGCAGACCATGGAGATCAGTTTTACAAGCACAGACTTCAGTTACTGATAGCAACTCCAAGTAAACATTGACAAGTACTCAGTCTCCCCCAAAATTTCTTCTACTTCTTCCTGGTATTCACCAGCTGTAAACACTACTGGAAAGTTCTGGTTGTTTGTCCACCTCTGGACTTTAGACTTGTTCCAGAACTTAAGTGTTCCATGCACATCAGTTTTACGGATCTGGCTTATTTCTATGCAGACTGTTGGTTCCTCGCCTCAGGTAAATACACACCCCGCCTTCACAGGAAACATGCCCAGTTAATCGTCTTGTATGGCATGCATGTTAAAGCAGAAGTGGGTCTAGTCTCCCCAACTTCCCGAGTCAAAGTTTGATGTTTCCTCTATCAAGTGAAAACTCACCACCAATATACCATGGATGATCTTGTTTATAGCAACCCAAGTCGTTGTTAGGACTGCCTCCATTTGCCGCCAGGCAGAGGTACTTCCTCCACAGGCCAAAGTCTCCGTTGTTATCATAAGCCCAGAAGGGAGCAGCAAAGGACAACACCTGAAGTATCATGGCCATCAGCAGTGTGACGCAGGCGATGAAGGGGATGGAGGCAGCTCCGAGGACACCCGGCATCTTGCTAGCAGGTCACAGGTGGGTTCTGGCCAAGGAAATCACATAACAGATACAAATCAGGTACATATAAGGTGTTCATAGGTAAACACATACACACAGGTACACATCAGGTGTGCATAGGTAAACACATACACACAGGTACATATTAGATGTGCATAGGTAAACACATACATCATCATCATCAGTTCTTGTTAAGCCTAGTGGCACATGAGGCTTCAGAGAGGACTTCCCATGCTTTCCTGTCCTGTGCAATCTTCAGTGCAGTTTTCCATGTCAAAGATGCCGCATTCAGGTCACTCTCCATCGTTCGTCTCCATGTTGTTTTTGGGCGCCTCTTTTTTTCTCTTTCCCTCTGGTGTCCATGTGAGAGCTGTTTTGGCAGTTATATCAGGATTCATTCTCATAACGTGGCCAAGCCATTTCCATCTTCTCTTGGTTATCATATTGTCTAAAGTTTCTTGGTTTGTGACTTGAAGTAGTTTAGTGGTTGAGATTGTATCTGGCCAAAAAATATTGATAATTCTACGTAGACATGTGTGGTGGAAGGTGGACAGCTTGTGTGCATCCTTTTTGGTCATTCTCCAGCATTCTGCTCCATAAACAGTAACTGCAAAATGATGCTCTTGTAGAGTTGACGTTTTGTTCCTCTGCAGTAACTGTTGGATTTCCAGATTTGCCTCATCCTTCCAAAAGCAGCTCTAGCTTTGTTCAGGCGTGACTGTATGTCTTCCTTTGCTCCTCCCAATAGGGACACCACACTGCCAAGATATGTGAAATGCAATTTTCAAGTGATTGGTTACTTATGGTCACTGGTAGTTGGTTTGGACTTTAGGAGTGACCAGAAGAGATAAGATCAGGAATGAGGTCATACGAGATAAAATCTGCACATTACCAATTCTAAATTACATACAAAGACAGCAAATGAAATGGTTTGCCCACTCGGAGAGAATGCCTCCTGATGCTATATCATACAAGGCATACACCAAAAGACGAGAGGGACGTAGAGCAAGAGGTAGACCAAGAACAAAATGGGAAAATAACATCAGAGAAACTCTACAGCACCATGATGTGTCTATGGTTGAAGCAGACAGAAGAGCACGGAGCAGGACCTTATATCTCCCTCGACACCTGTAGCGGTAAAAGGACGTATAGACTAAGAAGAGATATCAAGTGTGCATAGCTAAATACATACGTGGGGGTACATATCAGGTGTGCACAGCTAAACACATACATGGGGGTACATATCAGGTGTGCCACCACAAAGCAAACATAATTAGAGGGGGGGGGGGGGAATCTGTGGAGGGTGATAGGGGTCAGGCCCCAATCATCGAAATATTTAACTTTGTTAGGGGCAAAGACACCATCTTTAGAAGTTTTCTTCTATTTTCAAAGTATTTGTTTAAATGTGTCATATAAATTCAAATATTCTATTCTATTTATTTGCCAGTCAGCACATGACTTTTATTACTTGTACTCATAAGTAGTAGTAGTTGATTTTTACCCCACTAGGACATCACACAAGCGATAAACACCCAATGACACAAAGTGCCCCCATGTGAGTGAGGATCACCGTGGAGAGGTCCCAGAAACTGCATTCAGACAACTGGCCATATTTATGGCCTGCCTATATTGTGGCCCCTGACAAAAGCCAGGTGGGGCTTCAAATAAAAAATGTCATCCTAAAAAGGACGTAAGGATTGAACTTGTACTCATACTTGTACTCATACTTGTACTCATACTTGTACTCATACTTGTACTTATACTTGTACTCATACTTGTACTCATACTTGTACTCATACTTGTACTCATACTTGTACTCATACTTGTACTCATACTTGTACTCATACTTGTACTCATACTTGTACTCATACTTGTACTCATACTTGTACTCATACTTGTACTCATGTACTGAATAGCAAATAAATATAATAATATACTTGAAATAATATTAAATGCACAAATAAATTCTTGTCAAGACAATCTCTATACATGGTTAACTCCTTCATCCACACAAGCCTAAATTTAGGGCCAGGCAAGCATAATGGGGATGCATGGTCTTGAGGCAGGGCATGAGCCTTGTGTGCTGAAGGTCTGGGTTCAAGCCCCAGTGAAGGCTGGGAATTTTTTATGTGGACTAGTTATTCTCCCTGATCCCTGGGTAGTAAGTTCGGGGGCCCATGTGCATTCTTGCACACGTAAAACAATTCACTGGCAGGTGGAACCTAACAATATTTTATTTATGGGATCTTAAGGGATCTGAGTCAGATTCTGGCACTTAAGGCACACACAGACACTCATAGGTATGCACAGGTACAAATAGGTACACATAAGTAAAGGTGTTGCATGTGAAATCCATATGGTCTTGTAAAGAGTTGATGAAGCTAGGGCTGTGAGAAGCATGGATATACACAGGCATTCATGCTGTGTTGATGGGTTGTGAGTGTAAACATTTGAGCCACTTAAAGTTATGAAACAAAGGTTGCTTGATGTTCACAGGTGACTGCAAACATCCCAAGTTGTTTGGGGAATGTGAGATCCCTGTATAGCTGACCTGTGTTGACGGGAGTCCATGTTACTTGAGTCAACCAGCATTCAGTCAGTCTGAGTGTGTATGTGTGGGCAAATTGTTCAGGCCCTATGGACTCATGGACTTTATGGGGCAGTTGTAATGTTTTATTCCGTGGAGCTGGTGTGAAGTGTCCAGATGATTGGTGGATCATGAGTTGGACATCATTATCCTGTCAGAGTAATTCTTTAGAATGGACTTGGGTAGGCCGTGTGTGGGGTCAGCACAGCTGCTGCTATGTGGCAGGCTGGTTGACGGGGTGTCTTGAAGTGCTACAGAAGGTTCTGTAGGAACTATAGGTACACACAGGAACTGATGATTGCTTTTGTGTCTCCGATATGCCCCTTTCTGAACTGCAGGACTTCATCCATTTGTTCTCAAACTTCCATCCCAGCATCTGATGCACTTCTAGAATCTCACCTTCATCTGTACATTTTCTGAATCTCACTGTCACCGTGGACTCTAAGGGCCTCAGCACCTTGGTGTACTATAAGCCTACTGATTCCCTCGCTTTTCTTCTCTACATGTCCTCTCATCCCTCTTCCTGCAAGTACTCCATCCTTTTCTCCCAACTTCTATGCCTCCGCAGACTATGCCAGGAGAACGACGACTTTCGCAACAAGGCCCTAGAAATGCTGGACTTCTTCCGGCTTCGAGGGTATCCTGAACATGTCCTATCTGCCGCCTTTCACTGAGCACTGTCAATCCATCGTGCCGAGGCTCTCGTTTCCAAGCCTAAACGTCCCCACAACAGACCTATCCTCATACTTACCTACCACCCTCACAACATCTGTGCGAAAAATATTCACCTTAAGCATCTCTCCATCTTTAGCACGATTTTCTTTGAACTTCTTCTAGTGGCCTACAGATATGACTGTAACCTCAGGGAACAAGTCTGGAATTCCTGAATGCTACCTTCCACATACGTGAAGCATTCTACTGTACCAGCCACAATGTCCTTTACACCATCAACTGCAAGAGATGTGGTATGAAATACATCAGTGAAATGGGTCTATGACCGGTTGACAGGTTCAGACAACATCTTTGGGATGTGCAGAACGGTGCCCTAAAACCAATATCATTGCACTTTAATTCCCAGGATCACCAAGGTGTTCATGACAATGAGGTGACAGCCATTAAATCTAGCCCCTCTAGCGACAGAGTTTGCAAGACTCTTCCAAATCGCTTTATTTACACCTTTGAAACACACACACTCAGGGGATTGAACTGTCAACATAGTTTTATCTAAAATTCTTGAGTTACGGCCCTTGACATTTCATGGCTATTTGTTCTCGGGGTCAACGGTTCTCCTCATTCCACAGGCAAGACATCAACGTGGCTGCTTATGGATACTCAGTTGAGTAATTTTCTGTTTTTATGTGGTTTTGTTTGATTTATGTATGTGCTGATGTAGGCTTTATAGCCGCAACGTTTATGTTTTGTTTTTATTTGTTATATTATAAAGCTCGCTGATCTACTTTTTTGTTCAGTTTTATACCTTTCCAAGAACATACAGGTACACACAGGTACACATTGGTATGCATAGTTACATACAGTTACTCATAGAAAAACACAGGTACGCACAGGTACACATAGGTACTCTGAACAGACAGTTTGAGCAGAGAGTGTGTCTGAGCAGAGAAAGTGTCTGAGCAGAGAAGGTGTCTGAGCAGAGAAAGTGTCTGAGCAGAGAAGGTGTCTGAGCAGAGAAGGTGTCTGAGCAGAGAGTCATGCAAAGTTTCTGGACAGCACCCAATGACTATCCTACAGTACTACTAGACGGCCAAGGAATTCTGAACAGCCTAGTCTAAAAGCAAACACAACAACGTGCAGCGTGATCTGACCCAACAACCCATGCTAGATGGAGCTGTAGTCACCAATTTCCACCCCCAATTCTGTCTATTTCTGAATCCTCTACATGGACCAATGATTGGCACCCACCTGGGGAGACTGGGTGTAGCCCTCAGCTGTGTTCGGGAAGAAAATACCGTCACCCCTGGACACGGCAGAGTTAGATGAGCTGGCCACTTACTGTGCAAACAACGAGTCGAATTGTCCCCGGGCCCAACCTGGGAAAAACAACGAGTCAAACTGTCCCCGGGCCCAATCTGAGTATGTTGATTCACATACAATATCGGATAAAACACAGCAGCTCACCTTGGATGGACTGTTGTCTAGATTCACATGCAGGTGTCAGCACAGATCACTTCTCCGGTTCCTACCAGCCCTGTGTATGTATCTGTTAACTACACACCCCGACTTCTTGCGTCTATCCTAACTTCATCGACTGGGGTCTGGGATACGAAAGCGCGAATTCTGTCTACTATCCGTTTTCCAGTCACCTGTGTGTTACAACAAGGGAAGAGAACAGGAACATCCACATAAATTTTCGACAAGATGCAAAAGTTTTTGACGTCTAAGCAGACAAATGTCT